TATATATATATATATATATATATATATATATCACTAATATCTCTGGTCTGTCTGTCTAAAAACTAAAACAAATGACTGGATGTGTAGCCTGTGATAATATTAAGAATATCTATTTGATTTAATGTGATAAGCAGTGTTGGGCAAGTTACTCAAAAAAAGCAACCCACTACAAATGACTAATTACTACTTTAAAATTGCAATTTGATTACATTACTGATTACTGCATTTAAAAAGTAATCAGATTACTAATTACTTTCAAGTTAGCCTACTTTCAAGTTTATTTTACTTTTCAAGTTATCAGCCCTAAAAAAAATACACTACATTGTGAAACTCAGTTCTTTCAGTCATTTAATATTGACTGAAAAATGACATATGAAAATAGCACCTTGAACGATCACTTGTATATTTTTCCCGATAACAGCGAAAAGAACTTCAAATGTTCCGTCATTTTCGATTGCCCAGATAAGAGTAGTATATCATTTGAAACTGTAAAAGGTCTACTTTTATTTGTATACATTGGCAATATCAACAAGACATTGTGCTTTTGTAAAATAAAGAAGTTATAGTGTTATATACACCTATTAAGAATAATAAGTAAATATTTTAAAACTATTAGTAATATGTTGCTTTTAAACCTTATGATACATAAAAATAACTCAAAAAGTAAATGGTGATTCCTTGTCCTGGGTCTCATGAGGTTATCTTGGAGCACTGTTGAGTTACATATCCAACTAATTGAGGCTGAATGTGAAAATCCCATTAGGTCCATCTAATAGATTTAACGTGTACTCGCCACCTGATAGCTGGAGGCTGCATTACTGTATGATCATATGACTATGGTGCGAATTACAGGATGGGAGGGTGGGGGGTTATGACACCCTCCAGAGTAAGTCAAGACAAAAGGTTGGGGTTGGGAGTACATAAACATTTTTAATTCTACATTGGTTAACTGTCCACAGCTCTGTCTGAATGAAACATATCAGTGATATATCATTTCATGCATCCTTAAAAGTGGGTCATATTGCCGAAAAGGACGCACGGTGCTGTGGTCTCGCCGGTGACTGTGATTGGTCAGCACCTGCTCACCTCCTTCATCCAAACTGGCACGAGTTGGAGGAAATATATGCAGCATCCATCCCCCCGATCCTCCTCACTACGCGTCTGCGCTACTCCTTCCGCCGCATGTGCTTCATTCTCTATGGTAACGCTACAGTGATCCGAAGACATTCGCAGTTTTACACAGCGTTATCATCATCATCATCATCATCATAACGAGACATGCGTGTGCAACTGACTATAGGAGTGTTTCTATTGTTTTTGGTGGTGCGGCAAACACACGCGACTGATTCCAGCAGTGCTCATGACACCTCACGAGAGAGATCACTGAACATCCAGAAGAGAAGACTCTCTCTGCAGAACACAGGTAGGTTGGTTGTAATAGGGCTTTTGCGCAGTGCATGCACAGAAAATCAAGGAGAGCTCGTAAATGCGTGGAGCTGTTCAAACTGCTTGCATTCAAGCTGCATCAAACTTTTAGATGTTCTATCAAACAACTTATCTCCAGATTATGTCATCCCGGTTAGCACAACATTCAAATGCATGTTCTAAAATGTTTTTATCCTGCGTACATCAGTTGCCAGGGTTTTTTCAGTGCAATAAATATAATAAATATGCATTTTCACACCGTTGCGAAAACGTTATGTTTTGAGAACCTCACCACGTCCAAAGGGTAGCTATATACGGTCATTAAAATATGTTGCCACGTCTAACTTTATAGCAAAGCAATAAATGTAGACATATTAAATGGTGAGACTTTTATGACATTTATATATATATTTTTTTAATAATAATTAGCTGCTCTGACTTAAAGGCTAGGCTGTGTAATTTATATTTATTTATTTTGAATTTGTATTTATTATTATTATTATAATTTTTTTTTTAAAATGTAGTTACCTACTTCAGTAAATATGTCCTCGAGCTCAGAATCGGTAAAGGCTTTTCACGCGAGTTAGAAATTTATTAAACTCATTCAAAAGTTGAAATAATACATTTGGAACGTTATTTGTCTACTTTTAAAGCTTTAATATATGGAGGACGAAACCTGCAAAAACAATAAATAAATAAATACACAATACGGACAATACGGCTCAGTTTTTCTATGTATCTTGCTCTGTTGAACGGCAAAAGTGACTTTACTAGGCTATACTGGATTTACACCATGCATCTCCTTTCAGCGGGAAAGCCACGCCCCCAGCTATCACAAGACCCGACCAAGTCCATGGTTGACACCCTCTCATTAGCATGTTGTGCAGAGGAAAAATAAATGCGGAACTACATTCAGAAATAAATGAGTGATCAAAGGAAAATAGTTAGGAATAGATAGTTCTTTTATTTATTTGCCTACTTTAATCACATGTTTAATTATTTCTATATGTATTTAAACAAGAATCTGTGTATTTATACACATTTATTTATTTATATATTTATTTATTTGTGCATTTATTTATTTATTGTTTTTGCAGGTTTCGTCCTCCATATTAATATAGCCTACATACGTGCCACTCTGTTTTTTTAGTATAAAAAAATAGACAAATAACGTTCCAAATGTTTTAATGTGGCATTTTTTCTCTCGAAACTTTTAATTCAAATGTAAACTTAGGGTTTGGCTTTGTTGTGGTAGTAAAAACAGGTAGAGGTAGGTATTTTCAAAACATTTCTTAAATATTTAATTTTGGCCTCTGGTGTTGTTCCGTCATTTAGACGGGGATTTTTATTTTTTTTTTGAAATTGTAAAAATCGCTACTTCATAGGAATGGTACCGAAACAAAAAAAAAAAAAAAAAAAAAATTGTGGACTTGATTCGAAAAAGCTAAATGGTCGTAAAAAGAATAGTCCGCCAGTGGAAATTAATGGTAAATACAAATAATGTTTTGTGCGTACAATCTACAAATCATTCAAGATGCAGAAAAAAAGTGAGTGACGTGAGTGACGTGACATGTGGCCAGGTATGGTGACCCATACTTGGAATTAGTGCTCTGCATTTAAACACACACACACACACACACACACACACACACACACATGAACTAGTGTGACTGTAAAACATGTTTTTGCAAATGCGTGAAATAACATAAAATCAATAATTCAGCCACAATGCAGTAATAACACAGACACCAGGGAAGGGGTGACACTCTAAAACATCAAGAGTACAAAACAGACAGACATTTTAACAATTTATTTAAGTCCACACACACACACACACACACACACACACACACACTATTATACTACAGTACACACATAACTGAACTGGTATGGCTGTAACAATATGGCAAAATTGAGCCAGAAGACTCAAATAAGAGGTTGAAATCAGATTGATTAACCACTGATAAAGCATTCACGATAATTTTTGTTGAACTCTGATGTTATGTATAACAAAATGTTTTTCTCCGTTTTCAGGTTTGACTGTAGTAAAATTCATACAAAAACTGACATTCCAAACCAACATTTCAAAAATAAAAAAATCTAAACCTTTATAAAAAGTTGTCTTTGAGAATGTCTAAATATATATCCAAATCCACAACTTCATAAAAATAAGTAGTTATGTCTAAAAACAACTAGAGAATTTATAAGCCTTTTACATAGAGTTATATAGTGCCATAATTGAAAATATACAAATATTTAAAAAATGATCATAATTATTGCATAAATATTAATTAGTATCATGAAATTCTCTCAAAATACAAAAGAAACAAATATATAAAAAATAAAGAACAAACATATATTGCATTGATTTTCCTGAAAATGAAAAGTTGCATTTCAGGTGTTCAAATGAACAATACCAGAGGCTTAACTGTAATTGTGGCATGGTTTCTAAGTGACCTAACTGCAGTTGTCAAAAGCTTAAGAATATTAGTCATAAAGCTGCAAATTACACATAAATTTAGAACACTGCATTTCAAACCATACTAAAGTCCACAAAGAGATACAGTTTTCACAGAGCTCTATGCAGCAAACATAACAGACATGGAACATTTAGATTATTTGGAATGTTCTCAATTGCAGTCTTTCAAACATTGTCCATGTTACCCATTGTGAGTTAGTTGTTGAATTATTTTATGATCATATTTTATAAAACTGTATGAACTTTGTTTAAATTTGATGCTTGTTTAGAATTTAAATACAAATCATTTTAACCAATATTTATACAAATTACCACTCAAACGCATTGGAAAAATACTGTAAAAATACTACTCCAAAAACCTGGTAATCAGTTACCTACCCATATATGGTGGAAAAACGGTAAATGGATAAACACCACATAATATGTAATTTTACTGTAAAATACTTTTAATTTCTGTAATCAGTAATGTGCATTAGGGTATTTTGTGTTACATGTTCTGTTATTTAAGGATTGTTTATGGCATTATTTTAGTGTCGTGTGTATTACCCTGATGGTGTTTCGTCTGTGTGCATGATCCCTGAGCAATAATATTAGCCAAGTTTTATGGACAGGCCACTTACGATTAACTCACATGATGAGGCTTGCTATTGTGCCACCTGTATTATTATAGTGTTTATCAGCGAGGTAAGAAAAGCTCATTTTGATAGTTAAATTAGGTATATTGACATTTTAAGTTGTAAAATATACAGGCATCCCTAAAAGCCAGAAACACTGTCACAGTATTTTACAGTAAATTGCTAGCAGTTTTTTTTTACTGTAAATTTAACAGGATATATTTCAGTGTTACTATAGCAAGGGCAATGTGTAATTACTGTAAAAACTGTAATGTGACGACGACTCAAAGTTCTCTCTCCCTTGACCATTCTCCAGCGGAGATTCAGCAGTGTCTGGTGAACGCAGGTGATGTGGGCTGCGGGATGTTTGAGTGCTTCAACAACAACTCCTGCGAGATCCGCGGACTACACGACATCTGCATGACGTTCCTCCACAACGCTGGCAAATTTGACTCCCAGGTAGGATCCTGACTGCTTCACCTATGTACTTAAATCACAGTGTGCATACCATGTACACCATAATGCTATTTAACATTTAGTCTGAGGTTGGTCTACAGCACCTCGTCATTGAGAGCTGGCAGTTTGCCCGCTATGTCCATATCATTAGACATGCTTGAGCTGAAATTAACTTAGTCAGCATTTTGTCAACTGCATGTGCTAACATCATCACGAGACATGCGTGGCTTGATGAACGACTCATGCATCACTGCAGGGAAAATCGTTCATCAAAGATGCGCTGAAATACATGGCCCATGGACTTCGCCACAAGTTCAGCTGCGTCAGCCGCAAGTGTCTGGCCGTGAAAGAGATGGTGTTCCAGCTGCAGCGCGAGTGTTACGTCAAACACAACCTCTGCTCTGCCGTGAGGGAGAACGTCAACGTCATGGTGGAGATGATCCACTTCAAGGACCTATTTCCTAAAGGGTGAGTCCTTCAATATAGGGGTGCGTGATATTGACAAAAAATGATCTTGATATTTTCTGGGATTTTGTCAATAGCAATAATTAGATTTTGCTGAGTTTGTTTTTATGCTGGCACCTGGACTGGTTTAGGCCGTGCAGTGGTTAATTCACAGCAGAAAACTGACAGAAATTAACTTTTTTCATTAAGGGGTGATATGTATTTGCCACCTTAAATTGATTTCCAGGGGCATTTTTTGAGATGTATGAATAATCTTTTGTCAAATTTTTACATTTAATCAATAAATTCAATTAGAATAAAATACTATAGTCTGTTACCAATCAACAAAATCATTTTTGCACTGCAGAAGTGCACAGAAGCTGCTTCTAAAGCAGCATTTAGATGTATTTACACTACAATTACCATTGCATAAAAATGCTATGAGATTAATGTTTTACAAATATTGTAATAATATGAAAAAAATTAAATGATACTTTAAATATGAAACTAAAACTGTCTTAATGAGTGAAGTATTGAGTCATTCACTCAACTGATTTGTTCAGACAGCTGATTCATTCAGGAACAAAGCATGTGAATCATTGATTTGTTCAAAAAATGCTTATTCATTCAGGAAGGAAACACCACAGAGACGCACAACAGTTCTGCTGTGGCTTTGTTTGGAACTATTTCTATTGGCGATATAGAGCAAAAACAAGTCAACTTTCTTTTATTCATGCTTCATACAATACAGATTGTGTCAAATCAGCTTCACAGTTTTAAACAGGAAAACATCAGAATCAGTTATGGAAACTCAACCATAAAGACAGCTCAAATTCTGCTGTAAAGCAGCTCTAACGCAACAGTGTCATTATTCACCTCAAGTCAGTTCAGTGTTGGTTCTGTTCAGATAGGGCTGCAATAAAATTCAATATAAAATCAGTATCACATTTGCAATTGGGATATTATTAGAGAAAAAACAACATGCTTACACTTCATTTACCAAAACACTTTTGCATAAAAATGTCTGCTTCCACATCGTTAAAACAACAACTGAGATATTATTGTTGACGATACATATCGCACACCCACTTCAATATCACATCATGTGCACCAAATCTTTGGAAGAATAACCAAGTAAAGGCCCATTCACACCAAGAACAATTACTATAGATAACTATAACTATACTATATACTATGCAATAACTATATCAGTGTCCACACCAACGCATGATAACGTTCTGTTTATTATGAGCATGGACTGCAGTTTTGTTGTCTGCAGCTTTAAAGGTGCTGTATGCATTTTTTTTTTTACTTTACTAAAGCATAAAAAGACCATAATATGATTGCAGATATTCAGGAAACATGCTGAGTTCACATACTCGTTTCTCTGAAAACAATGCTACAGCCAGTTATTCTATTTTGAAATGTGTGTTCTGTGTCGGGATGTCTGTTTTTGTTTTGGTCTGTGTGACTCCGCCCACTGCCCAATAGTTTACCCAATAGTATTTCGACACCCTGAGTAACCAGTTGGCAGAAAACACAGCGTATTGCAACCATGGAAGTAGGGTTGGGAATCGAAAATAATACTTAAGGTCAGGAATCGGATACTTGTCAAATTAAAATTTCGATACCGCCTATCGATTCCTATTTTTCTTCATCTGTGAGGACCGGAGCTAGCGATCTGCCAGGACCTTGCTCGCTAATCTAAGCGCTCCAAAGTTTGGCTACATTTGCGATCAGAAGCCAAAAAAGCTAAGTATAATATCTGTGATAGCTAAACATTTAATAGATTGTTAAAGATCGCGAACGCGATTCAAACACCAACGTGATTGAGGTTTACCTTTTTATTAAACTTTTTCAAAGCTTTATTTGAACATTTACATTAGATATTTCAACATGCTATTAAACTGTTGTTGTCAAGTTGTCATTTAAAATCCGAACATCATTGGTAATGTTATTGTTTTAGTGATTATGCAAACAAAGTAATTTTATTTGTTGTTTGTTGATTTTTAAATATTTAAAACTTTTTAACATCTCCAGCACATTTTAACAATATTAGATTAACTGGTGATAAATAAATACTATCCAGCATGAAGCACAGTTTTAAATAACAGTCTCAGGTGCGCACAGCACACAGAGTAGTTTCGTTTTGTGTGAAAACATGGCAGAAAAGCTGGGAGGTTTTAAAAGAGTGCTAAGGGAATTATACAAATGAATGCAAATGATTAATTATATGAATGTACCTCTGAAGGTTCTGACTGTCTTCAGAAAAGATTCGATGGCATTTTGTTTTCATCTTCACTCCATGTAATACCTAAAGAAAGTGTTCTTAATCACAATACTGCTTTGTTTACGGAGGTTACGGGAAACAGCTCTAATTCAGCTTTTCCATCAGCGGGGAAAAAAAGAAAGAAAAAAAACTCAATTTATCCAGAATCATGCAGTTCTATTTTGCACACAAACAGCTCTTAAAGAGTCCAGTTTTTATGTAGCCTGTTGATTTTTGTTCATGGTATTCAGCTCCAATAAATGGTTTGCCAAAAAGAGACACAGGATAAATGTTTTATATCATTATTTAATCACATTGGAATCAAAACTGGGAATCGAAAAGAATCGGAAACGATAAGCAGAATCGGAATCGGAATTGATAAAATTCAAACGATACCCAACTTTACATGGAAGTAAACAAACAAACTGGGTCAGAGATTGCAGATTCTACCCGACCTAAAGAGCCTAGGCATAAAAGCCCTATGACCAGAGGAATATTAAAGCACAGATAAATCAACTCATCAACTTGCAGTGTATGGCTCATCACCTTCCACTGTCAGTTGCTCTGGTTCCTGTTGCAAGTTCTCAATCTGGCAACCCGCGTGAGCATCTAGGCTGAGGAGGAGGGGGAAGGAGAAAAAATGCTCTGTAATATTTTGAATTTGGACCGCAGTACCTATTTCAACCACTAGCTGTCAATATCACATACTGCACCTTTAAACATTCAAGCTCTTTAAAGCAGGATGGATTCTAATTGGACGTCATTGTTCATTAGCTGGAAAAATAATTTTAAAGTGATTCCAATGATGTTGTTCCTCTGTGCCATTATCATTATAGTTGTGGTGTGATTTTGCTCTTCTTTTAAATTTAGAACGATCTTTAGAACTCTATCTTTATTGTTATAGTTAGCGTTCTTGGTGTGGACAGGCTTTAAGGTTTTACTTTCCTAACCGTCTCCTCTCCTTCACCGAAAAGGCCCCATGTGGAGTTAGTAAACATCCTGTTGGGATGCGGCGAGGAGGTGCGCGTCGCCATCGCCCGCCGAATACGAACTCAGTGTGAGCAGAACTGGGGAGCTCTGTGCGGGAGTCTGAGTCTCTGTGCAATCGGAAAGATGCAGAACCAGGCCAGTTCCACCCTCGCCCCTGTCCCAGACATCACCACTCCATCGGGAGCCAGCGGCAACTCCCTTCCTCCCGCGAGCCCGCTTCTCCCTGAGGCTGACGGGGAAACGGTTTGGACACTCACAGAAAGAGATGAAGATGAAAATCAGTCCTCAGGTCCTCAACACAACGCCTCTGATGCCGAAAAAGAGCTAAAGAGGTCTCTGAATGCCACCAAAAGGAGGTGAAGGGAAGGGGATTCTCAGTGCCTTCCGCCCACACGTCCAAAAAGGCTCGTTCAGTGCTCTCCTTCCCTGCCTCGCTCAAGGACAAATAAGCTGCAGTCTCCAGTGGTTCTATAAGAGCACCAGCGATGACAGGGTATTTCAATGTGATGATACATTTAGAGCTGCCATCGTCATTGTGTTTGATTTGTAGGTCATTCTGTGAGAACATGGACTGGTACAATATTTGATAGGAGTCTCAAAGATTTCAGTGGCGTTTCACCCTTTGTAGATGTATTTGTAGATTGTGGACTAAGTGCATTCCTCAGACTGCAGACTCTTCAGAAGGCTTAAGTGAGTCTGTCAGGCTGCAATTCTGAATAGCATGATTAGGCCTTGTGTTTTGTGATGACATCATTCCATCTGCTCAGTATTTGTCTGCTTTGAAGCAAGGCCATTTGGGTGAACATCACGAAAACATGTCTGGGTCACATTTCCCCCCGAAAGAAAAAAAAATATATATATATATATATATATATATATATATATAAATGATATGTTCTTTAAAAAAAAATGTAAATAAAATAAAATAACAAATAATTTAAACATTGGATTACACTTCCGTTCAAAAGTTTGGGGTCGGAATGCTTTTTAAAAAATTTGATAATTCATATAATGAATACTTTTATTTAACAAGCTAGTGACAGCGAAGATATTTATAATGTTATAAAAAAAAGTTTATTTCAAATAAATCCTGCTCTTTTGAACTTTCTATTCATCAAAATATCCTGAATCCTGAAAAAAAAATGTATCATGGTTTCCACAAAAATAATAAGCACAATAAGAATGGCTCTCATCATTATAATAATTGATCATCAGTATTATCAGTATTTGCTGCTTAATGTATTTTTTTTCTTCTTCTCAGGATTCTTTAATGAATGGAAAGTTTTAAATAACAGCATTTAGTTGAAATAGAATTTCAAATTTTTGCAACATTATAAACGTCTTTACTGTCACTGTTGATCTCTTTAGTTTGTCCTTGCTGAATAAAAGTACTAATTTCTTTTGAACTGTATATTTTTTAATGGTAGTATATTATGATTTCCACAAAATTATGAAGCAGCAAAAACTGTTTTCAACAGTGATAATAATCAGAAATGTTTCTTGAGCAGTAAATCAGCATACAGTATTAGAATTATTTCTGAAGGATCATGTGACACTGAAGACTGGAGTAATGATGCTGAAAATTCAGCTTTCACAGGAAAATAAAAAGTATATTAAAATAGTAAATAGTTATTTTAAATTGGAACAATATTTCACCATATTATTATTTTTACTGTATTTTTGAATGTTTAGGACCATTAAATGTTTTAAATTGTGGCATTATTTCAAGGGATTTTTTTTATGGTAATAATTATTTTTGCTGCATTTCAGTAATAATTACTGTAAATCTTTAACATTCAAATTAACATTAAGGCGGTACATCAAATACCATGCTTTAAATGCCTTTAATAATACAGTGTTTTCTACTCTCTTCTAATCTGTTTCTATTGATTTGCGGTGAGATGTGGATCTGGACATGCTACTGACCGGTTTGGTGAGACTCACCTATTTGGACTGTTTTTAAACCCAGGTAAAGCCTCAGCAGTAGATATAAGGTCTTATATGCCACATGCTTCATGCAGTACACTCGGATGTGTCCACTGCAGTGTTGCTGTTGCCAAGGCAATGTGACATATCTAATATGAAATATCAGATTTCATATTTTTCTTGCATAGAATTTAGAATAGACATTTTTCATATGTTATAAAAACCTATGCTTTCCTTGATAGACTGCAGTTACATACACAAACATTTGATAGAATATGCAGATCACTGATTTTGGACCTACCTCATCTCTGTAACATGCACCTGATTCTACTGTATAATATATTGCATAAAACATGTTAGAATGTGTCCCATATTTTCACAAGGTAAACTGGTCAATGCCTAGACTCACTCCCCTCTGTTTCAGTGTGTCTTGTAGATATCTGACATTATGTTTTTGTTAATTTAAATGAATTTCTTACAATTTATGCATGAAGTGTATCTTGTGGATTTTTATTTTAAAGTCAGGTTCATTTCAGCCACTATAGAGTGCTGGTAAGTCATTTTATATACATTCATACTATTTATTTCTTTTTCTTTTGTTTTAGTTATTTTTTCAACTACTTACATTTTTTTATTTGGGATCTGTATCAAAGTAATCAAATGTATTCATTGAAAAAAACTGTTTTTCCATAATAAATTAACCTTGTATCGGATTTTTGGCCTTTTGTGGATTCAAAACTTGTGAATCATCACAGCTTCTGAAAGGTTATAAAAAAAAAAAACTATAAAGCAATAAAACAAAATGCCAACACCTGGCACTTGGGTAACTTTTTACCCTCAGAAACCAATGCAGCAAGCCCACAATGTGCAACACACACAAACAAACAAACAAACAAACAAACAAACTCACTCACTCACTCACTCACTCACTCACTCACTCACTCACTCACTCACTCACTCACTCAGAGGATCATTTCGACATACTGCAGTATCATAGCAAAACTTAAAAGGAGAGCTCTACTGCAACAGAACAAAATCTTGGTGTAATTAATATACCACAAGATAATTAATAATAATAATAATAATTAATAAAGGACATAAAGATAAAGGACCTAAACAGATAAAAGTGACTGCATTTCTAGATCTCATTTGCATTTACATAATTTTTGCAGCTGTGATTTAAATAAACAAAACCTGTCCTAGATGAGTAAATTAGATAATACACTACACACAAAATTTAGAATAATTACAATGTTTTAATATTTCTGAAATAAGTCTCTTATGCTCACCAATATAAATCTCAATTTCGAAAAATGTACCCTTATGACTGGTTTTGTGGTCCAGGGTCTCTCTCACACACACACATGTGAAATGTTAATGCAATTTAAAATTCCAGCTTTCTATAAATGTTACTGTTTTGAATATATTTTAAAATGTAATTTATTCCTGGGATGCAAACCTGAATTTTCAGCATCATTACTCCAGTCTTCAGTGTCATTCAGAAATCATTCTAATATGTTGTTCTCAATTTTACTGTATTTTCGATCAAATAAATGCAGCCTGTGTGAGACTTTTTTCAAAAACATAAACAAAAAAATCATTCTAAACTTTTGAACGGTACTGTAAATGAATAAGGGACAAAACTGATCAGTTCTGAATAGTCACCTACTTCATAAGACACATCCAGACACATTTTACATGAAAACAGAGACACAACACCCCCTAGTGGTTAGTCCCACTGAAGAACATGCGAGACCCTAACAGCCCCAACGT